TAAATGCATCATGCAGGATCTAATAAGTAGGAACACCAGTAACAAAGGGCATCGCTACTAGGAGCAAGAAGCTACTAGGAGCAAAGGGAATCGCTACTAGGAGCAAGGACGCTACCAGTAGCTCCTGGCATTACTAGTAGTAGCAAGAAGCTACGAGTAAAGCAAACCAAGTGAGTTGTAAGGTTGTCGTATGATGGATTCCCACGTGTACACAGCAATCATGGAGGCCGGAACAGTACGAGTACGACTGAATTCCCAGTCGTTGACGGATGGCGGTGTTTGAGCCCAACTCCACCCGGGAGCGGCAATACAAGTCATACGGTCGAAGAAAGGATCCTTCAGTTCGTTGATACTTACTACATTCTTTGATAAACATTTGACTCCTGGTCTCGAGGGTTTAGAATATCCTGACAGAAGAAGAGGCACAAGACACTGACTGTCCTGAAAGCCTTGAAGGACGCCAACACACATTATGCGGTGAAATTTTAAGGATCGTGCCAACTCTTTTTAGATCGTGCCAACTCTTTTTATGACCTATCTTTGTTCTTGTCCCCGTCCTTTGCCTTTCTTGAGATCTGAATCTGATCTTTAGACCTTTCTCCTATTCGTCCTAATCCGGCCCAACGAAAGCTGTCTTTCCCAAGGAGACGATCTGTTGGTTGGGTGCCCCAATGATTGGACAGGCCAGATTGATTGTTTCAAAGCGGCTGACTTGCACAAAGGTCCCGCTGTGTTCTTGAGCCCTTCATGATCCTTCAGCTTCCCAGGCACCAAATGGGTTGAGAGTAAAACTTGATCATTTCAATGCAAATGTTCATATAAAGGTAAGCATCATGGTCTCCCCTCCACAGCTTCTTCTGGCCTCCAAAAGCTTGTCCTTACAGGCTTTGATGAGGTCCACGAAGTAGTTCCCTGCAAAGAGCATCAAGTTGCTCAATCGAGTTGCTCTGGAGGCGATTATGACACATGTCCCAAACTAATGGACTTCCCCCATCTTGGTGTCACACACATTTGTCACCAAGAAAACAGTTGAGCCCACACTATCTCAACCACGAAACATCACCAGCTAACTCAACATTGGACTACGCACAAAGTTGACTCCTGTTGCGCAGCCTTGCCCATGTTTGGCCCTTTCCACCGCCCTGCCACCAAGGAGCCATCATCCTCGAGCAACTTCAGATATCGCTTGAGGACCTTGGCATCTGTACACTCCTGCGCTTCACGCAAGTCTGAGAATTAATTATGAGCAAACAACACCTGTTGTTTCAAGTGTCACTGTCTAACCTATGTCAACATTCTTTCTTTATTAAGCCAATTCAATCTGTTTCGTCTAGCAATGTTCACTCTGTTTCGTCCTCTATCGACTCGAAGTCGACGTCCTCAAGCTTCAACTCCTGGGTTTCCCAAGAGCTCAAGCGGTGATGTGGCTACCCTGTTGGGTCCCAGTGATCTGGGCGTCTAGATTCTACTAGCCTAGGTTTGCATCCTAGGTAGTAAAGGTCTCAGTTTGGTGGAAGGTGTTGTGAATTCGTCAAAGTACAAAAAGGATGAACAAGGGTACTCGAGGATGCACGTGGCAAAATCCAACTTCAATGAGCAACTCACCCACAATGCGGATGGGGTATGTAACACATTAAAGCATCAGCCTTTGGAAACCAGTCGGGAAAAATCCATGAAATCGGTCCAAGGCTACCAGCAGAATGAGCGCGAGCCAACGACCCAAACAGGCGCAATCTTCTTCTTCGCCATGTGATAAAATGTCTCTGAGACATGCCAAATCATGTGACAGTGACAACATGATACTTCGATCTTGGTACCCTGCAAGAAGAACAAAGAACTCACACCTTTTACACTTTTCAGGATCTTGAAGCTTTGAAGAGTTTTCTTCGATCTTGAGGAGATCATCGATCTTTGTTCAGATCTATGGCAATGACACTGGGAGATCGCTGAGGGCTCGGCGCTCAAATTCTTTGTTGGAGCCATGCCATGCACAGTAAGCTGCTCAAATGGGCATGCAACAAAACAAACTCAGGGACTGACCTTGTTACATACTTCAACAACTTCAACAGGTAAAGGGAACTCTCACAACCCATAAACAATAGGGCAAGTCAAGTCTGCAGGAACAGCTGGGAGCCTTGAAAAGAAAGGTCCTCCGTGCCTAAGATGCTGATGAACCGTTTTTTGCTAATCAAGAACTGCACAATACTGCAAATGTCGTCCGCTGGCAATGAACTAATTAGCGCATCCTGCATATCTACCATGACTGGGCCAATTCACATTAAGCATGTCTCTGCTTGTGCATTCCGGGTCATGTCTTTGTGTTGAAGTTCTTTGTGCTGGTAACAGCCTACGCTCTACTGACATTTGAGCAAAAGGGGTAGTGATTCAAAACTGTTCAGGAGCTGAGGCCACTCATTTAGCCTTTGAAGGCTTTTCCGGAAGGTTGACTGACACCAAAGTAAATCCGGAACACACTCTTATACCTACGATAACAGCGCAGCAGCCATATCTCTTGGCTTGGACGAGACATGCCAAGCAAGCAAGACTGATTCTCGTTTCTGTATGCTCCAGACATGCAAAGAACCTGGCCATCAAAGCTCCTTTCAAGAAACGGCTCATAGTCCACACAGATTGAATGAGGAGTCTGCATGAGAACAATCTGGGTAGAACCAACAGCAACATCAAGTAAGATCACTGATACAATAGTCCCCAAGTTGTATCAAGTTTTAGTAACTATAGTAGTTATTCAGCAACCGGGCCGTCGACCTTGCTGAAACGCTGGGTTGGCCGAACCAATCAGAAAGCTTCCACCAACGGACTTTATTTACAGTATCAGTATCAAAGGTTCCTTCCCCAAACGAAGGCAAACACATCCTCTGCAGTTCAGTCCTCACCCGCTCTTTGGCTGCTTGATTCTGAAAAGAGACGCACACCTGTAGCCAAAGACCTCCGGCCAACGCAACACAAGAAGTTCTACTGGAACAAGATGACGGCTAAGCAGCTTTCCCCGCCCCTGCATCCAACTCATCGGACAAGATTTTTCTCGCGTATATACTGGGTGTGGAAAAAATATGGACAGGAGATCGCTAGCCCAACTTTGAATGAGATCGCCGAAGGGCCAACAAGCCGGCGCAAAGCAGGATCGGAATAGGCCCAAAAACAGCAAGAACTGCAGGCCATTGTGAGGCACCTTGTGCCCACTGTGGGTTGTTCACACCCAGCCAATCTGCGGCACGGGATCCGAAAATGCCATACAAACAGCGGCCAGGGAGAAGGATTGTTTGGTAGATGCTGGGCAAGAAACCGCGGAGTTTCGCACTGAAAAGTCCATCCAGGAACCAGCTACTGTGCGCACTGGCCAGAACACCATTCACCACAATGTTGCCGGAAAGAGTGAAAGGGTTGTAGAGACCCATGCGTGGCACCATACTTGTGGAAATGACCTCACCCAATTCACATGATCCGACATCAAGTGTGCATAGCCAAACATGGTTGCCCACTGTCACGTCCGAAGCATACATTGTCTTGGCCTTGGTCAGCTCACAGGTGCCAGACTCCAGACAAACGTGGACGTAATGATCTGGGGAGAGCTCAAGAGACTCAGGCGCTGCGCTGGAGCTTTGGAGCCTTTGGAGCTGCAGTTTCACATAGGGAGCCAATTTCTCCTCTGCGTGACCGAAGAAGTACACCTGATCAGAAGGACGTCATTATTTAGAGACATACAGGTATGAACCAAGTGATGGTTTCTTTAAAGCCGCTGGTATGATCATCTTGTACCCAGTGCTGAACTGTTTCGTGGTTCTCTCTTCATGATTTGTCTTTATGTCAGTCATTGATTAGTGCGATGATCCTCAATTCAGGCAAAAGCTACCAAATAATTCAACCCCCTTCCCAAACATGGATTTTATTTTGGCCCAAATATGGATTTTGAACACAAAAAATACAAAAAAACATGGTTACGGCGCCTGTAGGGCGACCGCGCTGTTTTCGTTTTTTTTTAGGCGTTTTTGATATCGCTGTTCAATGAACTCCCATTTTTCCAGTGTTTTCCAACATACCATTGTCAAATCATCTTTGAAAAGCAGCAAAAGTACTGGAAAGGCGCCTATTTTTTTTTATATGCGTTTCGCTATGGCGAAATCCACATTTATGCCAAAAAGTTGCAGTCGAAAACTTGATCATATTTGTTTTTCTCATCCATGGTTGCTCTTTCCTCTGCATGTTCTCTTTCGACGCGGTCACTTCCAGTAGCCCAAAAAACGATTTACTTTGGACACCAACTTTCCCAAACTTTCTAAAATGTCAGATCCTTCGACTGACACTCTATGTCGCCAAAACCACATCCAAACATATCGCTGCATTTTCCAGCGAATGGAATCCAGTGACAACTGTCGAGTACTCAAACTGCGAGGCAAAGTGTGAAGTGCCATGTACGTTAACATGAACGTTAATGTTGCCCACCCCACCCCACCCCGTAGCGTAGCATCTGCAGCGTGTGCCTCTTAACATGAACGTTAACATGCCATGTACATTTGCACACGAACGTTAAATGTTGACCCAC